ATAGATAGATAGATAGATAGATAGATAGATAGATAGATAGATAGACAGACAGACAGACAGACAGACAGACAGACAGACAGACAGATATAGTTAGATGATGGATGGATCAATGGTGGGATGGATGGATGGATGGAGATAGATAGATAGACAGACAGACACATAGATCTCTAGTTAGCAGTTAGATGGATAAATGATAGATAGACAGATAGACAGACAGACAGATAGATAGATATAGTTAGATGATGGACGGACGGATGGATGGATGGACGGATGGATAGATAGATAGATAGATAGACAGACAGACAGACAGATAGAAATATAGATAAATCTATAGATACATAGATACATAGATTGATAGATAATGGATAGATAGGTAGATAGACAGATAATGGATGGATAGATAGATAGATAGATAGATAGATAGATAGATAGATAGATAACAGATGGGTGGATGGATGGACAGATGGATGGACAGACAGACACAGACAGAGACAGGCAGAGTGAAAAAGTTAGATTGACAGATAATGAATAGACAGACAGACAGACAGACAGACAGACAGACAGACAGACAGACAGACAGATATAGTTAGATGATGTATGGTTCGATGGTTGGATGAATGGATGGATGGATAGATAGATAGGGAGGCAGGAATGGATGGATAGATGGATGGATGGATGGATGGATAGATAGATAGATAGATAGATAGATAGATAGATAGATAGATAGATAGATAATGGATAGATAGGTAGATAGACAGATAATGGATAGATAGATAGATAGATAGATAGATAGATAGATAGATAACAGATGGGTGGATGGATGGACAGATGGATGGACAGACAGACACAGACAGAGACAGGCAGACTGAAAAGTTAGATTGACAGATAATGAATAGACAGACAGACAGACAGACAGACAGATATAGTTAGATGATGTATGGTTCGATGGTTGGATGAATGGATGGATGGATAGATAGATAGGGAGGCAGGGATGGATGGATAGATGGATGGATGGATGGATAGATGATAGATAGATAGATAGATAGATAATGGATAGATAGGTAGATAGACAGATAATGGATAGATAGATCGATAGACAGACAGACAGACAGACAGATAACAGATGGGTGGATGGATGGACAGATGGATGGACAGACAGACACACAGACAGGCAGTTTGTAAAATTGGGGGGGGGGGGAGGAAACTCACTTAGCAATGTCTCACTTAGCAACAGAACATTTGGGGCTCGACTGGGCTTGTGGAAAGGAAGTGAGGTGCAGGCCATCCTCGACTTAACAGCCACAATTGGGCCCACGAATTTCCATTGCTGAGCCAAACCATTGTTAAAATGAAGTTATCCCCCAAATTTTACAACCTTTCGTGCTACAGTTGGCAAATGAACAATTCAGTCTGTAACATGGTTGTTAAGTGAATCCGGCTCCCCCCATGGATTGTTTCAGTCAGAAGGTTGCAAAAGGGGGGGGTGACCCGTGACCCGAGGACACTCCAAACGGTTGTAACTAAGCGCCAGTTGCCCAGCATCAGAATTTTGAACTGGGGAGCCTGCAACCGTCGTCAGTGTGACAGGCGGATCCTAAGTTCCCTTCTTTATCAACACCTTCAAATGGTCACTAAACGATCTGTTGGTAAGTTGAGAACTTCCTGTCTAGAGAGGCACTCCAGCAGGGCAAGTTCTCTTGCTGGTCAGACTCGGGTGAGCTTCAAAAATTTCAGCAAAAGGTTCTCTGCCCGGTTGCTGAGTGGGCGTGGCCATGGTGGGAGTTGCCTTGTTGGCCTCCTGCACCATGGTGGTGGGGGTGGAGCATTTTTTGCCCTCTCGAGGCTCTGGAGGCTTTTCTCGAGCCTCCGGGAGGGCGAAAACAACCTCCCTGGACTCCGAAGGTCCTTCCGGATCCTCTGGAAGGCCTCTTTTTTGCCCTCCCCAAGCCTCTGCGTGGGCCCGGTACTTACCTGGCATCCAAAACGGGGCGCGTGGGGATTCCTGGGCAGGGTGGGGTGGGCGAGGCCAGCCAGGGGTGGGATTGATTGGTTTACCGAAGCAGTCATTAGAAATGATTAAAATTCACTACCGGTTCACACGAACCAGGATGAACCAGTAGCAGCCCACCCCTGGTCATACTTTGATGAGACTGGATTTTCTTCACCTGCAACTCAAATCTCAGACTGGGAAGTAAAGAAAAGCTGGAAAGAAAAGGAGCTGAACAGAATCTAACTCGGGGGTTCCTTTTGTTCAGACGACAAGGACTCCAACCACACCAACAAGGAGAACTTCGACAGCAGCAAAGAGAAGGGCGGTGCTGAGCCCGAACTCTCCGAAGGGAACGTCGCCATGGCTGCAGCTGCCGCCATTGCAGCAGCCACCACCAAAGCCCAGGTTGGTCCCAGAGACGACTTCCCCGTGGCCCTCTGGATTTCCACTGTTTGTCTTCGCCGACGTGCCCAGGATTGCTCTTCGTTGCCTTATGTGTTGTATGTTGTTTTTGTTTCCCCTCTTCCCGTTTCTTCCACGTTTTCCCAATGCCTCGTTTGTGCACCCCAGCTCCAGGTGGTGCAAAGGGGAATGTGTGTCCACTTTTGTCAGCCTTGCTGAAAATTTTTGGCAATGCTGCTCTGTTAATGGCCTTGACGGGTTGATGCCTGTCAGTGTGATTGAAAGAACCTTGCAGCGGTTATTTTGTGCATGTGTGTGTGTGTGTTTGTGTAGGGAGGCTAACCCATTCCAGCTCCAATTTACTGGGAGGGAGGGGGTGGCTTGTGGGTCTCAAAAGATCCCATTATGTAGCCTTTTTTTCCCCACCCCTGGGTTAAACGCATGCTGACGAGTCTTCCCACCCGTTTACAAGCCAATGAGCAGAATGATCCCCTTTTTCCAAGGATACCCATGCTCCTTTCTCCTCGGGCTCTGCTCTTAGGAATGGTGGTGTGATGACCCAGGGGGTGGCACCAAGGCAACACAGTCAGATAATCAGTAGGAGTCCCTTTATTAGCTCCAACTTTGCCCCCAATGTCCTGGTTACGTTCTGGGCTGGAGGAAAACTGCCAGGAACAGCCTTTGGCTGCAGAGAATCAAGTCCAAAACGTGGTCAACAAAAACTGTCACTATAAGTCCAATCAAGGCAAGATGAGGTAATTAGTCCAGCAGGGCAGGTGAAGGATTTCCAGACGTGAAGGAATGGCAGTAATTCAACACAGTTGGGAAAATGCCAGGAA